TAGGATGCTTGACATCGCCGCGACCGTGCACGCTGCTCATTAGAAAGAACCCCGCTCTGGTTCAAAACTAGTAGAGCTTTTCTCAGTATTTTCACCTGAGTAACCCGCGATTTTTAGTTCACTTTTTATTTATTTTAGTACCTACAGCTTGATGGCCTTATTTTTTTTTGCTCCATAAAGTCCGCCATTTTTCAAATGATGTAATATGCAATGAATAAGTTACATACGTTTCCATATTTTTAGACATTACAGTGTTCTTGTGACAACGAATTTGTCTTTCTTGAATATTTTTATTCTTTTGTGAATTTTATGAACCTTCAACTTCTTTTCATTTTCTGTTTATACAAAAAAAACCACTTAAAGTATTAAAAAAAATACTAGTACTTACACAAAAATATTCACCTGAAGTTCACGTCAAGCGGTATGTATCCCTCACATGTATCATTTATCAAGTGTCTATCTCAACATAATACATTATTATAACTTTTTGTGTGTAAAGGACTGTTAAAGAATTTTATCGAACCTACCCACTTAATAAATATGTATTTTAGTAATCGTAGCAAAATAAAATGAAGTTCGTAACAATTTGTAGGTATGTTTTTTAATAACTATCGTGAGACATACTAAATTAAGCATGCGCCGTCGCGACCGCGTACGCTGGTCATGAGGAAGAACCCCTCTGTGGTTCGAAACCAGTAGAGCTTTTCTCAGTATATTCACGTGAGTAACCCACGATTTTAGTTAGTTTGTCAATTTGTAGGTACTACGAAATAGTTGTTCTGTTAAATACTATGTGCCTATAATTAAGTTATGGTATTTAGATCCCCAGTGGACTACTATTGAACACGATAGACAAGAGGAATATTTTTGAGGACGCCTTTACCGAATAAGGGTTCTTACAGGATGCAAACTAACCAACACAATAACAATACTAACAGCAAGAATAAAATTGTAAAATAAACTGTAAGAAATGAATGGTTTTTATTTTATTTACATGCCAGTGTAGCCAGAAAATAAAATATTTCATTTATTCATCATTCAGATTTCTATAAAACTACACATCAAGAAAATTATTAACTTTTTCTCTGTATTCATACAATACCCAATTTGAAGATTGCCTAGTAAAACGCTAATATTGGTTTTTATCACAGTGTTTTAGCGTCACCATTATCAGCATCACTATTGTTGTCTGAGGCTAGAAAATTATCATCATCAACAGCATATATATAAAAGCCCACTGCTGAGCAAAGCTTCTTCTCACACGGAGAAGGTTTGAGCAATAATCACCACGCTTGCTCATAATTACAATTTATAAACCCAGGTTTCCTCACGATGTTTTCCTTCAGCGGTGTCCAGAGTCCATATTATCGTGGTGTTTAGATAATCTTAGAAAGTACATAACCCAATAAATTATATAATAAAGATTAAAAAATACTATCTAACAAAATATGCAGCATTTTCCTCATATAATACCGACTTGTACTACTGCTCTCGTGTGTAGAAATTGTAATTAGCACGTTGGTATCGCCCGTCGCGGCCTGTCACTTGTAATACAAACTCGCAACTTGCAACGCGATATGACATGAACTTATGTTGCGTTGCACTATATTTTATGCTTGTAAACTTAGGTATATATATATGCACTTAAAACTGGTCTAAATTATTTTTTTTAATTTCTATTTTATTGCATTGTGATTAAAACCTCACTGTGTAGTTGTGGTAAATTGTGAGTGTTTGCAAGGGCGATCGGGCAAAGGGTCTCGGGTTCGATTTCCGGGTTAGGCAAAGTATTACTAGGTTTTTTAAGAAAAACTTAGTAGTAGTATGGAGTCTGAGAGTTGGTAGAGTTAAAAATATCATAAACTGAGCTTTTCGCGAACGATTGTAAATAAATAATCTATTTTAATACTAAAGAAGTATATAAGGACTATTGAATCGATCGGGTCTATTTTGGGACGTTTTAATTAAAATTCTCAATTGAAATTACAATGATACAACGAAGACGAAATTAAGTTAAGTGTGACATCTATTTTAGATTTATTACAAGTAATAGATAATTGGGTATCACACTAATATTATTAATGTGAATATTTCTTTGTTTGGATGTCCGTCAACCACGGTGAAACTACTAAACGCATTTTGATGAAATTTAGTATACAGGCAGAATATGAGCAGACTTAGGTGATAGGATATTTTTTATCCCGGTTAAACGCTCCCATGGGATAAAACATGAATCATATTCTACGCGGATGAAATCAAAGTAACAGCTATTTCTGTATATTTTGTTAGCTGACTTTAATGATATGATTATTCAAACATATGAATTAGAAAATAAATCTTCATTTCTCGAAAAAAAGCTAGGTAGGTTTTTACTATTAAAGCTGCAATAATACAAAACGTCTAAAATGTTTTGTTTTTTTTACTGTACCTAAAAAATGCAAATTCCCTTAATGCACTCAATCACGTCCGACATCTTTAAAATTAATTGTATTGTGATCGATCATATATATGTAATACAAAAATAAATGCCAATCAAATCATTGAATAATGCATAATTAACTTAGGACTATGAATAGTTTCTGTTAGTATAATCTGCTACGAATTCGAAAGGAGCTTTGAAGGAATTTATAAATAAATTATTTTAAATTATAATTCTAGACGACATCACTGATTATGAAGACCTAGGTTTGGACTGACCAGCCTCCCAATGGCGTTAATATTAATAACACGAAATCTTTGACTTTACGAAATAAATGCAGAAGATTTTTTTTATATATCAGATGGGACTGACGTTTGACCACTATCTCGCCTAGTAGTAAGCGATGATGTGGCCTACGATAGAGCAAGTCGTCCCATATTTTCGAAGAGATCTGATATTTCACTAATTAAATAATAATGATTTTATGTCCTTGACGTTTTAAGTATCGAACAAACGAATTGCTTTTATTATTTCATTTAAATGTCATACTTAAATAATCATTCTCAAAAACTCACTTATTATCTATATTCAACTATGTTTTTGACACACCTTTACTTTATATGTTGCTAAGAATAGCAATGCTAGATGTCCTAGCATTTAATTTTACACCAAAACACAGCCCTAGCTTGCTGCCAACTGTTGCACGGTTGTATAATGAGCGTGCATTAATATTAAGGTTCTAATTTGCTAGTGCACGCATTCTCGTTGTAATGTCATAATGCAAGTCGGGCAAGAATGTTTAATATAGCTCTGTTTTTTTTTTTTTTGTTTTAAGTCTTATTTGTGGACCTTTTTATAAAATATATAGGTATTTTGTGTCATTTGTTCAAGCGTCGCATTTACTACCGCATTTTGCGTTCGATATTCAAATTGAGCCAGGAATAATTATTCCTGTATGTTTGTTTAGATTTTTCGAATATCATTAAAAATACAAACCTACATGGTGTTGAAAAAAGATTGTTAAGCTATAATTTGTTTATTTAATAAAATGTTCCATGAATTCTTTTTTTTAAATTGAGGAAAAAGAAAATAATGTTTTCTTAAAAAATCTTCGACACAATATTTTTGAGTGACGTTGACACTTCTTGCATAATAAATCAGTAAATAAAAACTTCCATCTTGATTAAATCTTAATTCAGTTGCGAATTCTGTTTAACGTCAATTCATTATTAATATTTAAATTCATTTACAGTGCAGAATGAGTTTTAAATAAATATAATATATTCGAATGATTTTTAACGATTCTTAACTTATTTTTATTGCATGTTATGACGTCTTGATTTTTCTTTGTCAGACTAAAATTTGCTTATAATGAAATAAATTAACGATAAATAATTTATTTTTGATTGAATGGTCTTCTTTTTTGAAGAAGATAGACAACACATTTAAATAATTATAGACATTATGGTAAGTACCAATGTATATTAATGTTTTATGAATTGGAATGTGATTTCTATTTATCAAAATATTTTTAAAATATACATTCATTGATTTCGTATTATATTTTGGTTAAAGTAGTAGAGCTTTTCTCAATATATTTACGTGAGTAACTCATAATATTTAGGTTTATAAAATTTTTAAGTTTACGGAAAAAATATGAATTTAAATAAATGACTGGAATCATCCTTGTCATTACATTGGCAACATAGGAATTTAACCTTCTTATTTGGCTGCCGTTATTTGGACATGTGTAGATAATGAAGTAGGTTCGTAATTTGCCGATAAGTTCGTAATATGCGGGTCCAAGATAGTCACGTCAGTACACTTCTAAACTTATCTTTCTTTTATTTTTCTTTCTTTCAAAGACTGTGGAAAAACCTCTTGTATATAATGCTACTAAAAATAAAGCTCAACTTAGCGTAATGACTTCAGCGATAGATTTTTTTCCAATGCGTTTAAACATTGATTTTTCACTTTATGATTAAAGCTAACTTTTATATTCTGTTCAGTAAAAAAATTGCTAAATACAGAATAATTATAATTTTAGGTGCCATACCGTTATTTAAAATTGCTATGTGTAATAATATTATAACTAATAACAAAAATTTACAAAACTGACGTAACTAAAAATTACACCAATTTTTGAAATAACTGCGTAATAATCAAAAAATTTAAAATTATTGTTGCAATATTCCTGGATGTCTTTTGCTTACAACTTGACTACAAAAGACCAGGAAATTCATAAAACACTTCGTGATTTCAAAACACTTTTAGTAATATTAAAAGTTGTACACCACGGGTATTCTACCGGCAAACTTTAGCCATATTTTCAATTTACAAAGGACCTTTGTGAACTTTCATGGGAGAAAAGTTACTTTTATATAAGTTTTATCAAAAAAATATCCTTCTTTAAAACCTTTAGATTTTATAACTCAATATCACACAACCTTTATTTAAAGTTTTACACTACAAATCAAACGAAAAAAATCACACCTTTTATAAACACAATGTTTAGTCAAATTCAAAATTATTCCAAATTTAAAAAGTTATTAAAAAATTGTATTTAAATAAAATTCCTTACCTTTTACTGAGTGTAGTCTGGACTTCGTAAATCACCACTAGTTGAACTTTAAGTGATCAGTGCATGGCATATGCCCCTAAAGTTTAGCGACGAGTGCGCTTGGGCGGGAAAGATCCGCGCTTTTAAACGGCGACCATAGACCTTTAGAACTATAGACTAGGGTTGCGTGGGCCGTGTGACGTAAGCAGGTATTAAAATTGTTTGCAATGTGTACTTTTCGATAAACCTGTGAATGTAGAATGATTGTTGTAATAGAAAATAAGGGTGCGTCATCGTGTGGTTTCTGGAATTTTATTGTTTAGTTAGAGAAGTTAATGTAAATTGAATTAGTGTTGACATTTGATATTTAAACCTTAAATTTAAAGCTACAATTATGATAACAACCAAGAGGGCTTTTTAATTTGATAGGTAATTTTGAATTTTCTTTTTACTTTTTACTCAGTTTGAGAATGGAATACAGGTAAACAAAAAATTAAATAACGACGATGTGCGTTATAAAAACGTAATATTTGGTTATCAATGTTTATGATGTGAAAAGTTAACTATTAGATAAGGGTAGATAACTTCTAAAAGTAGGTACTTACAATAACAAAATTGAGGTTACGGCGACTCCATAACCACCTTAGCCAACTCTATAAAAGACGCCAAGAAAATATAATCACATAAGAAGAATAGTAGAAAATTGAGAAATACAATCAGAAACAAAAACTGTATAACTACGTCTTTTCTACACATTCTTCGCTCTACGTTCCCGCCCTACGTTCGTCGGCCACTCGCAACACAGATTTCAACCTCAGTGGGGGAAAGAGATGGCAATACGTATGTTCGTCTCTCTCACTCCCAAACTTGATGCCAGTTATTAAAACATGCAATCAGTTGATTGTGGGTAGTTTTTACCACTTTATTAGACTAGGAAGCACTCGAGCAGGATTTTAATTATAAAGTTGATGTGTTTACACGTAGCCGGTCGTAGTGATTACTAAACATTCGTAGCCGCGTAGCAAGCTTCGTAGCGCGTAGTATCCCGTAGTAGGCCGTAGCGCGGCTTCACCTGTTGTTACAAGGCGTAGATAATAATACACAACATAACATCACGCCTTTTTATCCCCGAAGGGGTAGGCAGAGGTGCACATTATACCACTGTACAATGTAACACCCACTTTTCACTATTTATGTTATGAGTCCCATGTAATAGGGGGTGAGCCTATTGCCATATACCGGGCACAATTCCAGACTCCGTGCTACTACTGAGAATATTTAAAAACCCAGTAATACTTTGCCCGACCCGGGAATCGAACCCGAGACCCCTTGTCCGGCAGTCGCACTTACGACCACTCGGCCAACGAGGCAGTCAGATAATAAGTAGATAATAATATTATGCCCATAATTATGTAAAAGAATATTTTGTGGTGCAATATTAGAAAATTCGTGAATAAAGCTTTTATTATATATGTTATAAACAATTTATCATTTCCTACTTTACGTTTCAATAAAAATTATAATACCTAGTAAGATTTCAATACAATTATCCCAAAAATTGCTGATTGTTTGCAAGCTATAATTTCAATTACTTAAGTTAGATTGATACTTGTCCAAATAATCTATAAGTATTTGTTGAACGTCTAACGCGTACTATCTTCTTTAAAGTGTAATTTTATTCAATGAATGACATATTTTCATATTATCATAAAGAAACACACATTACGCAAGGTTACAAGCAGGACTCAAAGAACGCGATCTAGAAGAACTCACGCTGAAATCCTAGGTTGAGTATTTGGTTTTCCGATTTTTTTTCATTTGGGTAATATCCTTAATGATAAATTATATCGACTGTTCAATGTAATAAAATATTCAAAAATAATTACACTTTCATTAATTGATTTTATGACCAACTTAATTTTAGTATATTTCCAGCATTTTTAAGAAAGGATTATGCCGTTTGGCGCTGAAAAAAATGACGTCACAATACACAATCTCGTACAAAATTCATAGAAAACTGTCGTTTTTGACAGTTTGAAAAAAGTATTGAATTTGACTAGTTGGCAAGTGCCAATTTTTTTTAAAATTTATTTCAATTAATTAGGCACTTTTGAAACTTCAAATGGAATTATCAGTGAACCTAGGCGTTCGTTCCAAAGTGTCATTCCGAATGGAGAAGAACGAGCAAGAAATGCCTTTGTTACTCTGTTAAAATTGACGACATCATCACTACATGTATAAAACAAAGCCACTATCCGCCATCTGTGTGTCCCTATATATGCTTAGATGTTTAAAACTATGCAACGGATTTTGATCCGGTTTTTTTTAATAGATTTTTTTTTTAATCGGGGAAAATCGAGTTAATAGATAGAGTGATTCTTACAGAAGGTTTATATGTATAATACATGCATATTGCACCCGTGCGAAGCCGGGGCGGGTCACTAGTTAAACATAAATGGTACACAACTCGCACAAAGTCTTCATCAAATAAAAAAGAAATCTAAATTAAATGAACAAAATACAAACTCCTAAAGAATGTATGAATATGTATCAATTAACTACGAACATAGAAAGACCAATCAGTAGGATCTTGTTTTTACCCATTGACCGCTTCCCAAGGGTCACACACCAGCACATCAACCTGCAACTCTCTAATAAACATATTTTCTACCCTTATAGTACGCCATAAAGTCGATAATCCTTTAAAGAAATTTTGCAGTTTAGGATAGGTTCATACGCTGGCTGTCTATAAAATCACCATTTAACAAAACAGGGTCGATTGATACTAAGGGATGAAGGGATATCAATCTTTGTAACGGATTTTAATTAAAAATGAATTTATTTTATTGTATTATACATTTTGTTAATCTACATTTCACAGTAATACATAATTGGAAATAGTTTAATCTGAAAGAAGTAAAAAATATATCATACGTCTGGCCGTTGATACCTGTCGTAAGCCATCGCCGCCACACATGGAACCTCGAAACACCAGACGCGTTACAAGTCGTTACCGGCCTTTTGGGTATTAGGATTCTTGGGGATTCAGGGATTGGGGAGATTGAGGAGGGGAAGGGGGCTTTGGGCTTCTGGAAACCTCACTCACACGACGAAATATAATGCAAGAGTTGTTTCACGTAGGTTTTCTGTGAGACCGTGGCTGGGTAACTGGCTGCCACTTAATGTGTAGCGGGTTCGATTACCTCACGGAGCGGTCGGAATGTGTATGTGAACTTGTATGTTTGTAAACGCTCCCATCACATAGAAGAAAATCCTATTGTGGGACAACGTTTAAAAAAAGAATTTACCAGAAATTCCATACTACAACTAATGTCAAAAATGAATCATAATCCAAAGATTTTGAATTGACATCGGTAATTAATTTCGGCCATAAATAAGTAAACATGAAACACATAACGACTCTTAAAAATCGGTTCGATGAAGAATTAAAAACAAATCTTACAGCCGTACGTTTTGTCGTACGGAATCCCCTACTACCTATTAAAGCTCGTAATAGCCCTCATTTCAACTATTTTTAAGTACAAAATAATTGTTACGTTCTAATTGCTGCTAAATATAACTTTTTTTTTTTTAAAAAAAAGCCCCACACTAGGATTTACTCCTGTGTCGTGGGTGCGTTTACAAACATACAAGTTCACATTCACAATAACACCCAGACCCGAAACAACAATTTATGGATCACACAATGTGTTGTCCCGTGCGGGAATCGAACCCGCGACACGTTGCACGGCAGCCGGTTGCCCAGCCACCGCACCAACCGTGCAGTCAACTTACCACTCGAAACTGAAAAAAAAACAACGGTGCAATGTTCAAAGTACACAATTACTAATATTATGTGTGTATGTGTGTGTGTTTCTTTGGTGAGTATTTATGACTAGTTGATGACCTGCTCCAGCTAGGCTCTTCTGTAACTGTCAATTGGAACTTTGAAAGTAATCTCGATCACATTCTCGTCTGTCATTGGTCAAGATTATGACGGACCGGAAACGAGTTTACTTTATATTTCGAATATGTCGAATTGAAAGTCACAGCATAGCGTAGCTGCTTCGACCAGGTACTATTTCCCGATCTCCCCAGTGAATGAACTTTTTGTCTTTACATCGAACAATAATGCCCAATTATCCCCCCCCCCCTTCCCCAATAATCCCTGAATCTCTAACAATTCTTAATATTTCGTCGTGTGAGTGAGGTTACCGGAGACCCAATTACTCCCCTCCCCAATCTCCAAAATCCATGAATCCCAGTAATTCTCAAATTCTTACTCCCCAAAAGGCCGGTAACGCACTTATTACGCCTCTGGTGTTCCGGGTGTCCATGGGCGACGCCGATTGCTTACCGTCAAACGTTCCGACTGCTCGTTTACCGGTTTATCGCATAAAAAAAGGAATTAAGTATCCAAAATTGATGCAGCCATTCTAAAGTTATGTGTGTACATTATTATTATGTAGTTTTCGGAAATCTTTTTGATTTTTAAATAGATTTTTGTATCTGGAAGGAGTTGGGGCATTGATCTAGGCTACTTTTTCTTTCGACCACACGAGCAAAACCGTGCGCGGAAAGAATACAATTTACTTTTATATTTTTACCCTTTCATCCTGTATACATACAGATTATTGCCAATGTACATACATACGTTGCGTATAACGCTAAGGCATTAAGATTTTGAGTCAACATTGCTACGAATTCCGTGTATGCATTTCGTTTAGAAAATTTTGTGTTATTTGATTTTGTTATAGAAAATTGTGCGATGGCAATATAGCCTCTTTAATAGATCATTTCTAGCGCTATGGTCGAACAGGGGTGCAGGATTCGATTTACTCCAATACATTACTCTATTATAATAGTAAGTGTGGGAGAGCCATGCTTCGGCACGAATGGGCTGCCTCGATTGGAGCGATACCATGATTTCACAGAAAACCGACATAAAGCAACGCTTGCACTGTGTTTCGTCTTATGAGTGAGATTACCGGAGGCCTCATTACCATTCCAAATTCAATAATAGGCCGGTAGCACACTTGTAACACCTCGGGTGTTCCGGGTGTCCATGGGCGACCGATTGCTAACCATCAGGTGATCAGTCTGCTCGTTTACCGGTGTATACCATAAAAAAACAATCGTATATGACGGAGGAACGGTCCCCGTTCTGTTTTTAAAAAGTGTGACGTCAGCATGGCTGACGTCACCGACACTATGTTCTTGGTTATCACTCATCTTCAATTTTCAAAGTAAAAAAAACTGCAAGTTCACTAAAAGCCTCGTTTATTAAACTGACAGCGTAACAACTTATTTTAAGTAGGTCCGTACAGTTCGACAGCTCGAGCAAGACTGAGCCAGCGTCTTCGGGTCATCTCTGCGTCCCCGGCTGGGGGCGCGAGGTCGCGCGATCCAGGCCGATGCCTGTTTCGGCGGTCTCATTCGCTGCCTGCTACAGCAGGCGAGGGGTTGGGTTAGTCGGGCACCTTGCGGGGCCCGATGTGGTGTCGAGTCCGGCGGTATGCCCCGCCATTGGCCGCGCTCTAGCCGGGCAAGCCCAGCGAGCAGCAAGCTGTTGGCGGGGCATAGGTCGTGTCCAGTGGGGGCGCCGCTATGGGCCGCGCTCGAGCCGGGGGGAGCCCGGCGAGCGGCGGGCTAGTAGCGGCGCGCGGTCGTGTCCGGTGGTGGCGGAGACTCTACCGATCCGCCTGCGGGGCGGGCGGGAGTCTCACGCGGCTTCCGATGGGCCGGTCGGTGCGACCAGGTCTCGTGGGAGGCCGAGGCCGTCAGGGGGGCGCCGGTGGTAGGGCGCCAGTCCTCTGAGATGGTCGTGCCGCGACCGATCGGAGCGCTCAAAGAGTGTGGTGCTCAGGCGCTGCACGAATGCGTCGACGCTCTCTACGCCGAGGTCTCGGGCGATTGTCGCGTTCCGTACGAAGCGCGGGGCCTGTACGATGGTGCGCAGCGACAGTGACTGCTGCGCACGGAGGCGTTTCTTGTTGGTTTCGGACACGAGCGCATACCATGCCGGGGCGGCGTAGGTGAGCCGTGTCCGAATGTAGGCCTTGTAGATGCCGAGCTTCGCACGGAGAGGTAGCGCCGAGTCGATCACCGGGCGCAGGAGGTGACGCGCGGCGCGCGCCTGAGCGGTGGCCTGCTGCACGTGGGGCGTCATTGAGAGCGAGCGGTCGATGGTCACGCCGAGGTATTTAACGCTCGGCGCCCACCGGACCTGCTCTCCCATGAGCGTCATGGGTGTCGGCTTCATGATCCCCACGGCGAGCGCCTGGGTCTTGGCCACGTTCACAGCCAGTGAGCCAGCGCGCTCTGTGCGGCCGTATTTATAGTGTAGCGAGCATGTGCACATTATTGTAGGTTAAGTTCTAACTTTTATTTTAATCACAAGATTTTTACATTACAAAATCAGACAATAATAAATTCTTGATTTATAAACAAGTTTTGACGTAATCAAATTATTAAACTTAGTTATTAATTATTTTTATTGACTAATTTATTGTTGTTGCGCCGATATATATTCAACTTTATTATATAAAAAATCATTTAGGAATTCTCGGTCAGCCTCTGGTACTGGTGCTATGAAACTACTATTCAGAGCACCAGTACATTACAACAATCGCTAACCAATACAAATCAAAGTTTAACTCCTACGCAGTAAACTTATTCTTGGAATAACCGCAATATAGTTAACATTAACAGATTACTAATAACATGTTATACCCACCAGTTCCTGGTAAATAATTAACTAAATTCAATTACTATAATCGTGCTAAGGTTACATGGCCTATGTTACGTATCCATTATTCTAACACTATGCTTGTTTTAGGCTATTTTTAAGTGTGGACCTAGACTCCAGATGTGAGACGCCTGCGGACGGCGAGCACAGATAGCTCGCCGTCCGCAGGCGAACTAGTCCCGAGCGTACGGCACGGCGCGTTCACAGATGGGGTCTAATAGGGCTGATACTTGACCTGGAGATACGCTGCGGAGAACTTAACAGGTTACCAGGGTTCCGGCTCAGTAGGTATGCTGTATGTTGGCAAAACTGCTACTTCGTGAATTTCACGCGTCAACCGTTGGTGTTCGGCGAGGTGAAAAGATGTATAAATTTTGCCGAATGAGGGGTCTATGGGAATATTCATTTAATAGTTTATTTTACCGTTTACAAACAAACAGATTTGTATATATATTTAACCCTATTAAAAAATAATGTTTTCTTTTGTATTATACTTTTAAATACACAATATTCTTTTGAACTTTTAATACACAAACACGCACACAATAACAATGATTTTTTATAATTATTGTATTTGTGTTCATGCCTGCTGTCGAGTAAATACCTTTTACCCGACTATATTTTTTTCTTTCTTTCTTACTCTATCTCCTTTTACTACATACTAAACTAGATGTAAATAAAAGAGATTTTTTAAAATTACATCGCTTCTAAAAAAACATTAACACATTCCTACAACTCTATTGTAACCGCAACTGAAAGGAAACTAGATGTTACTGTATCGTGACGTCATCGTTTATCATGTGGAGTGGCGAGCGACTACCTTCATTTGTTATTTGTGTGAACACAGAGTACATCACTAGTCTATGGTAACTGTCAGGTTGACAGCCGCGTGGGTAAGTGAGTAGTGTTCGGGATTTAGGTAAGATCATTTGCAAATTGTATGGTCTAGAATATAGTGTCTAGATTTCTACGTTAGTCTAGGCACACATATCTATCTATACTAAAATATTATAAAGAAAAAGTTTATTTGTTTGCTTGAACTGGATTATCTCTGAAACCTTTGGTTCTAATTGATTATTTGGTGTGAAGTGGTCGATTTATCGACATTGGTTATAAAACATCGCGATCACGATATAAAACGAAAACTTAAATCAATTTCAACCTTTCCAATTTGCCATAAAGTTAAAAATCGAATGCAGATGTTGGGGTAGCTTGATGTGCTGGCGTCTTTACCTTAAAGTAGAAACGTGTAGGATGTATGTAAACTACAGAAGTAAGTCCTGGGACTCATATTTATTCTCTGCGGCCTGCAATACCGAGTTCAGGTGGCTTTGCACCTTGTTACACTGCCAAAGTTGTAACTTAAATGTTGGTTTAAACTTACAGTTAGAATATGTTACGTTGAATCAAGCTTTTAGTACAGTTCTCAAATAGAATGTGTGCATTTAGGCTTGGTTGTTTTTGTAGATGAAATAACATATTACATTATCGAAATAAGAACTTCTTTTGGAGGTGATTAAATATTTGTATAGAGTAAGAATTGTCATTAATAAACATGACATAACATAATGATTTTGTGGAAAAAAACAAAATCTAAAGTATAATTTAAAAACCATTCTAAAAAATTTGAAAAGTCAACAAAACATATAATAAACCAATTTAAAATCTGTAGTAAATTCGTCGGCTACATTTTTATTATGCCAGCAATTCAAACCTCATTCGATTGGCAACCTCAAAAGTATTAATTTAAAAATAAAAAGTATGGTAATTTAAAAATCGAACAATTAAAATTGCATGTTGTTATTCCTTAGAACGTGCTCCGAAGCTAATTTATGACTTTTCTTTGCTATAAGTGAGCAAATAATTTTCAAGAAATTGTGCGATAGAAAAGTGGCATTTACTATTTTGTGTAAGTCTTGGTTTATTTACTAAATTAACATGAAGCTGAGTCTTGTTCAATTGTTTAGTTAGAGTAGAATACATTTGTCACGTTTATAGATACTTAACAGTAGTCACACTCCCTGATAAACGTAAATCTTTTAAACTGCTATCTGCAACTTGCAAACGCCAAGTGTGGAGATTAAGGCAATCGGTTTAAGTAGGTACAAAATAAAGTTCCTCTTTTAGTCAGAAAGTCTAAGTCGACCTCTCTAGGACTCTCTAAGGTCACGTACCAAGGGCTTTCAGTCAAATATCCCTATGTGGTTATGTCAGTTCTTACGATTCTTGCTAGAAAAGAAAGGGTGATGATAAATATATTGTACGCTGCCGCCACCACATAGCCGGTTTAGAAATATTTTGTAAATTATTCCAACTCCAGCTGTATTTTGTTGGTAATTTGCATCGCATTACAGAATGGACTCGTCACAGGATAATGCATGATAATTGTTAACAAAAGTTCCGCCGTCACGTCGTCGTCCATTTTTGTGCTAATTCCACGTGAGAATTCCGAGAGTTTCAAACTGGTAGGTATTGCGAAATTCCCAAATAATTTAACATTATCATTTTACATTGAAGGTTCGAGGATTTTTAACTTTTTGCATTTTTTAAATTATGACCCACACGTAGACACGTATGAATTGATTTGACAAATTTCAATCTCTAAAGTACCTACTGTAAGTAAGCATAATTTACTGAGGGAAAAATAAATACCAAAATGAACAAATTTTATTTATCTTATATCACCTATACATATAAGTATAACCTACAACACAATTGTGTAATATCACAAAATATATACCGTACCGTACCGTAGTTACACGTGAACTGACAAACCAAACTCTCCTTTCATTCATCATACTCATCTAAATTAAACTCCGGAGTTGGTGACGTAATTTCTGTGACGTCCTCATCGTCCCGTTTATTATTCGAGTTGATCATGTCTAGCAGATCCACCTTCTGCATGGTGACCCTAACCAAATCCTTTAGTATCTTCCTGATATCATTATCCTGTGCGATCAAACCTTTTATCTTCTCTTTGGTGAACCCTGCAGAGAAGTCTCTTCTTGTCTGCGGTGGTATTGGTATCTTGTTTGGCGGAAGCTTGACCTTCTTCTTTCTTCTTTGTATCATTTGCTGTTGCATACCCATCCCTGGCTGATGAGGTAGTTGCCCCATTGGTGGTAATGGTTGCATGGGCATGGGCATGGGCTGCATGTGGTTGATGTGTTCCGTCTGTCTCATGTAACCTGGTGATGGGTTGTTTCCACCGCATTCGTTACCGCAGGTTAAGGCGCAGCACATCTTCGGGAAAGGACAGTCTGACTGCCTGGGAGGTGGCGGTGGTGGCGGTGGCGTTGGTGGTCTTGGTTCATATTGCAGTTGCTCTGGTTTTGGTGTGGTCTCCGTCTTACCCTGCCTCTGACAATCCTTGTAGTAGAGGAGATTCTCTATGCTGTCCTCATCTGAAGATGATGATTTGTATTTCTTCGACCTCGATTTTGATTTAACGACATGTGTCATGTATATGGTTAGTATAAACTGCAACAAAATATTTTATAAGAGTCTGCTCGTTGTCATAAATAATAATTTATCTAGTGTGGTTTTCTAAATTCTTATATGTAAAGTAATTTGAGCATAAAGCAATAAAGTTATATATTTATATGATGCAATAATCACGCCAAATGTGTCTAAAAATAAAGAATAATTGTATAGATATTACAAATAGGTCTACATTATAAATCTAACTAGGAACAGTAAGTATACGCTGATTTAATATTGTGCCAGTACACTTTTTGCAAGAATAGCAATAAAATTGCTGCGGCATAATAAAATATTATTCTGATGTAGTATACAGGTATCAACCATATTTTAGATGTTAAAGTTCTAATAAATGACAAATAATTGCTTACAATACAACCGATCTACCTGGACAATGAATAAAGAGACATAACATTATAACATCGGACACCTCGCTTCACTGAGGGAATATTTCATTTTTATTTTCCAAAATTGCCTACTTGAGAATTAATCGAAATTAAAAATTAGATTTTGACATGTCTCCTGTTTTCAAAGGAATGGCTAAAACCTACTTTTGTACTGAAAGCCAAAAATGACGATTTGAAAATGGATTTCGAAAAACCGTTACGGAAACGCGCGCCCTATAATTATATTTTGATGGATCTCAAAATAATTATTAATACGTATAAAAATAAACTGCTATTCGTTAGTCTCGATCAAACTCGAAAACGGCTAAACCGATTTAGTAAATTTTGGTATAGGATTATTTCTCAAAGTCCAGGGAAGGTTTAAAAGGTGAGGTAAAAAAATGTTTGAAGTGGTACGAACATTGCCAAGTCATCTACTAATAGAGAAAGAAGATAGACAGATAAATTATTATGTTTCCGGCTTACTCACTGAATAGTTTGACGAGGAACTCGACTAGTTTCAAGCCTTGCTAGAGGCTCATATACTTGAGCAGCAAATTATTAAGTGAGTAAGCCGAAAACATAATAATTTATTTAGTATGTCTCACGAAAGTTACAATACAAAGATAGACAGAGTTATTAATATTTCTTAGTACTTACAATTTGAAGAAAGTCCATTATTCCACACAGTTCGCATTGATGCAGTGGCTTGCACATGCGCTATCCATAGACTGGGCTCTAAGGAAATCGTTTAACGATGTTTTGTAAACACTAAGAACTATTTGTCAAAAATCGATTTGTTTTTCACCTTACATCGCTTAGATTGATGGCCTATTTATTTTAGTTTTTAAGCAATATATCCCTGTATTCGATGCTATTTTGGTTAGGCGTTACACGTACCTATTTGGCCTATTTTATTTTTGCGAAAATATATTTTTTGTGAGTGTTTAAAGTTATAGTATTTTAAAGGATATTTCTTAGATTGAATGGGTGCTCTTTACAAAAACTATGGATGGTCTGTAAGTAGAACATAGTCAAAGTAGACCATAAAGCAGTCTTTTTCGTTTTAGTTTCAACGATAACAATGAAATTCCACCTCCATTTGAAGTGTTATCGGAAAACGGGACAATTTACAAAATAGTGTTAGTTTTTGTATTTTTTACACATTGTTTAACCGTTTATTCTTATCAAGGTAAATTTTAGTCGAGTTTACTGGTGATTCAATGGACACATTTCTTTACTTAAATTACTAGACAGAATTTCATACATAGCATTGTATTATGTACTTTTTTAAGGGGGGAAAAATCATCGAGTGTCGTCTCCCGCCTGAGTGAGGTGAGGAGGATGTGTTAGTGGGTGTTACATTGTATAGTGGCACTAAGTGCAGTAATTTGCACCTCTGCCTACCTCTTCGGGGATAAAAGGCGTGATGTTATGTGTTCAGTTTAGAAGTATTAACCCTTTGAGTACCGTCATTATAGACACAATTAAAGAACAATAGGTTGCGGTCACCGGTGTCCTCGCGGTTTTTGGCAGTTTAAGTTTAATACAGTTTATTTATATTAGTAGATAAAGCGCTACTGCCCGGTCTCTTTGCTAATGTATAGTCTCTTAAGACACTCGCTGGAAAAATATGGATACTGATGAATATATTCTATTCTCCTGTCATCACACAACTAAAGCACAACAAGTTTGGATACAGGATAGCATTAGAAAATAATCCTACTAATGTAGGGTATAAAAAAATATAAGGTACAAAAGCAAAAGTATGTATTTTCGTTTGTTACTGCTTCACTATAAAACGCTGAAGAGATCGAAATGAAATTTGGAACATAACATAACATAACATTACGCCTTTTATCCCCGACGGGGTAGAATAGAATAGAATAGAATAGAATATAACTTTATTGTACACCATTAATAATATAGTACATACAGAAAAGGAAATGACAAATATAAATAAAAATAATAATGGGCACAAAGGCGGTCTTATCACTTATAGTGATTTAGGGGTAGGCACATTATGCCAATATACAATGTAACACCCACTTTTCACTATTTATGTTATGAGTCCCATGTAATAGAGGTTGAGCCTATTGCCATATACCACAGTTCCAGAACCCGTGCTATAAATGAGATTTTTTTTAAAACCTAGTAATAGTTTGCCCGACCCGGGAATCGAACCCGAGACCCCTTGCCCGGCAGTCGCACTTGCGAACACTCGGCTAACGAGGCGATTTGGAACAGGGATAGATTATGGTCTGGAAGACCACATAGGCCAGTTTTTGTCCCACGAAGCAGCAGAAGAAGAAGGCAGAAGCTAGTATCCTTATCCTTACTAATACTTTAAATCGGAAAGTGAGTTTGTTTGTTTGTTCCGCTTTCACGCCGTAACTACTAAATCGATTGCTTTGAATTATTGCAGACGTAAAGTTAGAAGTCCGGATTAAATAATAGAGTACTTATTATCCCGGAAAAATTTGATATTCCCGAGGGAAAACAAAAGTATTGGTATAGATGGCGCTGTGTGTATTGGTATATGTCACATAGGCTACTTTTTATCCTTTTGTGACGCGAGCGAAGCCGCGGGTAAAAGCTAGTATAAAATAATAACACATTGCATCATTCAGTTCAAGCTCTCGAATGTATGAACAGACCGATTAAGTTAAACCATTGACTTTGTTAAACTACAGTGCTTATATCGATCAAAATCACCGCTTATAATCTAGTACGTAAAGCAGTGTTAATGAAACGAGTACAAAATAATTACAACAGTTCGTATCAGTTCATAATAAAATGAAAACGATAATATACCTATGTTTATCAAAGTTATTATTAGCGGCCACTCAGTGAGCGAGCACTTGAAGTGTATTTATTACATTGCTGTCATGATATCGACTTGTTTTTCATTCAGTTGTTGTTTTCAGGTTGTTGCTAACTATATCATTGGTTAGGAGTTGTAGGCGCAATTGCGAAGCTAAATATATTTAGTTCAAACATCGGTCGGAGTGTTATTAGGAGTTTTCACAATTACATAGTCGTAATTATGACTACTTTACTGATTGTTGATTTAAAATATATGATTGAGTTTTCGATTTCCAACTTCAGTTTTAACTAAAGTATTTTATACCATACGGTGCAAGTATGTGGTTATTGTTACCTTAGTACATTCTCTGTTACTTTAGAGACCAATGACAATAATGTTATACCTACATAGCTTTTTTAAGGGGGGAAATAATCGAATGACTGCTCCCGCCTGGGTGAGGCGGGAGGGAGTGTCAGACTCTTACTGACTAAAAACCACCCCGTTCTTTCTCCTGCACATCGAGCCGGAGCCCCGGTTACCGGCATAGCTACCTCCACCATAAGGGAAATAACTACAAATATAAAACCGACCAATTAAAACACATAAAGATATTTATTGACCTCTGAGTCTTCTATCAGGCTAACAACTCCTTCTCGAGTTGTGACATCTTAATCTGCTTGGCTTTCATCCTTTTCTTGTAGGCCTGTACCTCATTCAGGATGTACTGGTGGACAGCAGTGAAGTGGACATTCCCTCGCATATTCTTACTACGCTTCTCATTCAAATCCTGACAATAATGATACCACCATGGTAAAACAACGTAATGGGCCGCCGGCTGCAGGGACATCTCTGAGCAAAATTCTTGGTTAGGGATCTTGAACTTGGCTTGAAGACTCAGGGCCTGATCAAAAAATTCTTTTGGCAGCACAAAGTCGTTATTCTTGCGAGTTAATCGTGGTTTGCTGGTGGGGACCAGACGGCTTTCTATCACCGTCAGGTGGATAATACTGATGATTAGAAGCTGAGGACAAATTTGGTGATTAATGTTGAAAGTCATAAGTAAAATAGGTATTACATAAGTGTCTTCATAAAATAAGTGTTTCAAATATGTTACTTAACTGAAAAATATCGATAAAATTATCAAAAAACGTACCCATAGTATTTTATTCGTTGGTTCACACATGGATGGCTGAACAATCATTTCAAAAAATGTCCCACAAAATACAATATCACATGTTAATTACAAATTACAATGAGTAATGTTTTACACTGTGTTAAAACAATTAATTACATATTTCTGCACGTGTGCAATATGCAATAAAATGTATAATTAATTCACATGCACGTGCCTAATATTTAATCATTAGTATTAAAATAATTATCGAATTTAATGTAATTTTCTGTCAACTGGCCGATTTAATTTGAAAAGATAAAATAGAATTGACTGAATGTTAGGATTACGGTAAATCGTAAAATAATATTATGTAAACGTAACGTAGCCTTATTCAAGGCCAAAGTTCATGACCATATTACATCCTAAATCATTTTGAAACAAGAAAAAATAACCTTAAAGAAAGACTATAAAAATATTTCTTTTAACTGATACTAAACTGTGGGAACTCTGGCCGAAAATACGAAGAATATTTCTCCACAGATAACAAATAAAATTTAATATAAATAGTACGTGTGTAAAGGGAAAATGGCGCCAAAACTCTGGGGTTATTGCGACTGCAAAGGTGTTATACATTTTGTCTATGGATATTTTTCTTTTTTCAACCGAAGCGTCTTCACCCCCAGAATATTATGAATGCTTACATGGTATTATTTTTTGCAAGTCGTCCTTGATTTCACGCTCTATATATTTTTGTATTTGTTGTTTAACTGTAAGATATTGGAATGGAGGGAAAGGATCGTAACTCATTGGTTGAAATTTTCTTTCTTAAAATTTTACTCGTTCCATCTTAGACAAATGATATTTAAATACTAAGTACATCATAAGTATATAGTTAAACCAGTGTTTGAAATGTTTTCTAGTCAATCACTCGATTAGATTGATTCGATAAACACAACCATCGAAAATTGAGTTCCTACCTACAGTAAAAAGCTTTTCCACTACTTTATATGAAAGTATCCATAGAAACTGTTGTTATTTTAAAAGTTTTACATTTCTAAACAACAAATATTTACAAAATGTGGTCTGAAAGGAACTTTAAACTCTATTATCTAAATTCTAAAAGGTTGAAACTAACTTGAGTACTTAAAGACTTCGTCACCATTAACCAAAAGGTCACCCATCAATAATTGATTTAATTTTGGTATTTATCCTCCATGCCTCCATCTTGGGGTTGTGATCTATGTATAATATTATGTAGGTGGGTTTTTAATCTGCATAGACTATTTCTTGCACTATTATGCCATGCCCATGTCAAAGGAGAAATATACCTACCTAATTGTGTTGTTCGATGTTTAAAAATCTGGGTATTATTTAAAAAGGTATTATTACACAAATACTTTTTTGTCTAATCACTTCATTACCTCTACAAACTTCCAAAAACTAATCATTTTCAAATCAACCCCTTACCTACATTAAGAAGAAAATACATTTCTAAAAATGCTTATTGTTTACCAAGCACTGACCAGAATGAAAACAGCTGTTAACCTATGACTTTTAAAAAGAATACAAAAAGAAAAAGATTCAAACAAAACCCTCGGCTAGAGCTCTCACCACAATAATTTCTTAACCTTTTACATTTATGGCGTACTTGTTACAGGTAACAACAGCCCACACGCAGTAATAAAGTAATCAGAAGGTTCACAACACATTTTACAGCTTCTTATTTTTTGTCCTATTAATCCTATTATCAAAAGCAAATAAATTACAATTATACACAGGTCACTCAAACATGTGTAAACACACAAGGTAACTAAGTATACCTACAATGTGTGATTTTAGTGTTATTACACAATCAATATCAGTTTTACAGTGTAACTTTAAATACTTTATCCAGACTAAAATTTCGTTCAATATCAAAAACATCAAAAGGTGTGTCACATGTTGACCTGCAAAATGAAAAATGTCAAATTCTAGTTTCAAGGAAAACTCGATCATACAATTTTACAATGGATACTCCGATTGAACCTTCTGCTATTCACCTATCGCTACAATATAACAGAGGCCTACTTATAATGCTGCGTACAAAAGGCTCAACGGCAGTGGCGTATTATTTGTCTTTGTTTATAGTAATGCGACCATTATAGTGATGAGAAATATGCATTGATTTAGCGCAGCGTGTTCATAACTCTGTGTTGATATTAAAATCATTTCATAGCAGTGCTGGTAAGGAAAGTCGGCTATGAAAGAGAGAATTTATTACTTTGCCATCCACTGTTGGACATGGATTCTTCAATAGCACGCATTTTTTTCTTATTGCTTGCATAATTAGGTACAATACTATACATTAATGGTGGTAAATACTGGCGATTTTTGGCTGCCAGTATTGCCATAATACCTAAGGAAAACGAAAAATGTTGAAATATGATTAATTACAAGCTTTTCTTTGATTGCCTCGTTGGCCGAGTGGTCGCAAATGCGACTGCCGGGCAAGGGGTCTCCGGTCTCGGGTTCGATTCCCGGATCGGGCAAAGTATTACTGGGTTTAAAAAAAAATCTCAATAGTAGCACGGAGTCTGGAATCGTGCAATGCAATGGAATAGTGCAAATGGTATTTGGCAATAGGCTCAACCCCTATTACATGGGACTCATAACATAAATAGTGAAAAATGGGTGTTACATTGTTCAGTCAGCATAATGTGCACCTCTACATACCCCTTCGGAGATAAAAGGCGTGATGTTATGTTATATTATGTTACAAGTTTTTCTTTCCTATAGCTAGGAATAGGCGCTATTCACTCATTATCATCAGCCAAAATACGCTCACTGCCGAACAAAGACCTCGCATCTTAACAGGCTTTTCACCACAGTCTAACACCCGTAGTTTGGAGGTCACAGTTAGGACACCAAAAATTTAGCGCATCAAAAATAATACCGTTGCAAACATCATAAGCATCGTCATAAACGAGTGTGGGAGAACCATGCTTCGGCATGAATGGGCCGGCTCGACCAGAGTGATACCACGGCCTCACAGAAGACCGACGTGAAACAACGTTGATTGAGGTTACCGGATGCCCAATTACCCTCCCCCCCTTTCCCCAATCCCTGAATCCCCAACAATCCTCAAATTCCTAATCCCAAAAGGCCGGTAACGCACTTGTAACGCCTCTGGTGTTCCAGGTGTCCATGGGCGACGCCGATTGCTTACCATCAGGTGATCCGTCTGCTCGTTTGCCGGTTTATCCCATAAAAAAGTATTATCTAGATTTCAGTAATTAATTTTTATCATTATATTCACAAACATCTAATTACTTCATGCAACTCCATGAATAATTGTATCGCGTCAATGCGTTGGCCTGGTGATCTGTGATACAGGTTTCTCCTAGAACAGACACCAGTCTCAGATTTAATTTGTTAGTTGTATATTATTGTGTAAATGATAATGAGAAAAATAAATGAATATTATATATTATAAAATGTTTATTCATAGAAATTATTCCTATTCTTCAAACCTTTCTTGTACTCCAACACAGCATCTAAAGTCTTCCTATAAAAAGGGTGCACAGTACTAGTCTTAGGTTTAGGAGGTGGTGGTAGAGTCACCACCCATTGACAGTAGAAATACCACCAGGGAAGTGGTAGGCAAGGGTTTAGTGGTACTGCCAGCTTCTCCCTGCAAATCTTCTTCGTAGGAATCACTAAGCAGGAGTGTGTGTCAGTCTCTGTGCATTCTGTCACCAGGTCTATGTATGTTGGATTGAAAGGACCAAAGATTGGCCCATAGTCCCGGTGGTAGCAGTGTACTGTTGCTGATAGGAGAAGCATGCTGAGGAAATGCATCTGAAATTGATTATGTATGGTGTAAAAAGATATCGGTGTTAAGGGGCATACCTAACAATAATAACAATTTTCTACCCTCTTACTAAGAATAGAGATTGTTTCCTATTATTTTATGAGTAGAGTAAGTAGGTACTATTGCGGTTGCCAAAAGGGCTTATAGCTGGAACATATTATATTAAAATTGTAGTACACTCTGTACAGACTATTACTGCATTGAAATGATTTGATTTGGTATATCCTTATGTCTTTTGAACAATCCTAGTTATCATTACAAGAATTGTTTTACTGTTTTTACGAGCCAAGCTTGCAAATAGATCACCTGATAATAAAAAATCGGCGCCGGCTATGGACACCCCCAACCCCAGAGGAATTACAAATGCGTTACCGACCTTTTGGGAGTAAGTAAATTTGACGATTGGGGATTAGGAGAAGTGGAAGAATCGAGAGGAATTTTAAACAATTAAAAATTTAAAGTGCAGATTGCTCAATAATTTAATCAGATACACTTACTAGTCTTGCAATACCTACAAACTCCACAGATTCAAATAAAGTGTTCACGGAATTTTATCCTCAGATACCTATAGATAGAGAGTACTTGACCAGCGATCGTCCTAAAAACTGTTTGTACTGCAAAGTTTTGATTTAGTTACAAACGCGACTCTGGAAATGGGTCACCGATGGAATCCATGATTGATTGCCATGTACCATGTACCCATAGAGATCCGGTTCTATGCTTCACTTTTTTTTAAACTTGAAGGGTTCTTTTTTATACATACAATACCACATACTTTTAGAGTTCTGAATTCTTTATTACGGGTTAAAAAAATATGTTACATAAAATTAAAGTAAGTTCGCGTATTCAATTACATTGCTACGTTTTTAGAATTAATCGCAAGGAGGATATTATATATAGGTAGATAGTCTAGATCTAGATAGCCATCGGCTTTTTGTGTGTACCTGTATTCTTGTGTGTCGTGGCGTAGGTAATAAATGGTTTGTCTTTCTTTATTTATTTCTTTCTCTCTTCTATTATTTATTATTAGACATAGACATCTATATATATAGAATGTCGTGGTGGCCCGGAGATTTAAGACGCCCACTTCTCATGCATGAGGGTGCGGGTTCGAAACCTACCAACGGCAAGTACCAATGTGACTTTTTCCGAGTTATATGTACTTTCTAAGATTATTTAGACACCACTGACGAACGGTGAAGGAAAAACATCGTGAGAAAACCTGGACTTATAATTTCTAATTATAAGTTTGAAATCGCCAACCCGCATTGAGCAAGCGTGGTGATTAACGCTCAAACCTTCTCCGTGTGAGAAGAGGCTTTGCTCAGCAGTGGGCATTATAGGCTGTTGATGATGATAGACATCTTACTTGATAGTAAACGATGATACGACCTACGCTGTGTTCCATTAAGGGTTCCATCCTATGAGATTACTTTAAGGTGAGTAACTGTAAGGCCGTGCAACAAGCACCTTACCAAGATTCGATGCCTTATTGTTGTAAATATTATACTTTACTGCATGACAGTTAGTCTGCCCTATGTTTCAATAATTGAATTTTTGTGTACCTATATAAAAGTTTAAATAAAATAATTACACTTACTTTTAACAGAAATCGTTAACATCATCGAACACAGAGGTAAATAAAAAGCACTAAATGAGAATGTAGACGTAAGATTGAATAAAATGATCTTTTATTCACATCTTATGACTTATCGTGTTAAGATATAATAACATATTACATGCTTAGGTAACAGTTCACGTGTAGTGTTACAACTTTTATGAAATTTAATGTAAGATAATATTAAGGCGTTTACACATGATCTTAAACAAATGGTTAGTTGATGGAGTGATCACTAGTGTGTGTGATCTCTAAGCAAGGGGTCTCGAGTTTCATCCAGTCGGGCTGTATTCTTATTGTATTGTATTCGGGTTGATTTTTGAAAAAAGAACTCATTAATAAATAGCACCGAGTCTCTATAGTATTAGTATAGAAAAATACAATTATAGTCATAGCACCATAATTGTATTTTCATTTCACATTTCAATATTATTGTTTTGTCTTAACGCCGATAAAATTGTCAAAAAATAATTTTGTCTACCATACTTTTTTAAGTATGTTATATGTATTATATGTATAACAAAATATAATATTTTTAGGTGTCGCGTTAATACATTATGAACAATGTATTCATAACCTAAAAGTCTCTATTAATTTTATAGCAATTTATCGATAAAAATCTAATATCAATAAAATACGTAAGATCTATAAAACATTGCATTCATTGTTATACATTTCAAACCTTATTTTAAATAAATTCTCTCAATCTTAAAATGTCATTTATTATTTTATTAACATGAAATAAAAAACAATTCTAATAAAAATATTACCTTGTCTCAAAAATCGCCTCAATAAAAAACTGAATTCAAATATCCAGTTCATGATGACATACCTACCATTCTAAATTCAAACGTATTTAACCGAATAATATTGCTGGTGGAAAATAAAACGCGGGATAGTAGAATGCTGGATAGTAAACTGGGAATGTGATAATCTTCTGGACACATTTGTCTTCTGGTTCTGGGTTACAATTTGGATCACTTCGGCGACTAGGATGACCCATAGTGTTCATGAAGGTTGATTGTAAAATAAGTATTGTCAGGAATATTTTGATTGTTAGATGCATTTCTGTAAAAAAAAATAGACTTTAAATTTTTTATCTAAAACTCTTTCACAAATGATATTTTTCTTTTAAAAACGTTTTACTAATATATAGATCGTCAGAAACATATTGTTAAGTTCTCAAATAACTGAGGAGCATGAAATGCAATGAAAAACATAACATATACAGATATAGATAAAACAAAATAATTAAAAAAAATTAAATATAACTGGCCTAAAAGAAAAAAATACTTACTTATAAATAAAATTCTATTCTAAACTTAAAAATTCAGATTTTGTTCATATTTGCACTTCAATGGCGTCCTCCAACGTCAAATATGGCGACAACAATAAAATTACGCGCGCCATAATTTTTAAGTGTTTTCAAACGTTGATTATCGAATTATTATGGTTGGTAATTATTATTGAATTTCCGACCCATTCCATTAAACCGCAGTAAATAAATTAATCTTCCGATAATGGTGCTTTCATCGGTAATTTATCGATACGAGTTACGAGTTACACATGTTTACGATGATTAAGAAAAGAAACCACGAATTTTTTTATTAGTATCCATACATACTAACGTGATTTCTTAATCATCGTTGACACATATGTCTTCAGAGAAATTTTTTCTATATATTTTCAAGCCCTTTGGTAATAAGGGGGGTAATTTAGAAGTAGTCTGGATACATTAAATGCATTCCGATCTATTGGCATATTAAAAATTTCAAAATTAATATTGGATTCCACGAGATCAAAGAATATCGTCATCTATAGTTTGTCAAGTCTACTAGTCAGAAATATAACAGCTATACCGATCCAGAAGTTTCGGGGCTTGATTCCCGAGTCGGGCAATGTAATGTTACATTATTTACCGATTATCCAGCCATTGATGATTTGTGTAATCAATTAAATGGTAAGCACCATGTATTTTAATAAGACATGTCATTTTAAAGAGCTTTATTCCTTATCTACCTATCTAATTAAAAATCAATGGAGAATGGAGACTCAGATTTATTGTTAAACGAACTAAGAATTAAAAAATACGACATCTAATTTATTACGTGAAGCGTTGACCCGGCCAGGTTAATAAATTCTTAAGTTATTTTTGGATGAATCCAGTTCTAAGAAAAAAATTTTTAACCGTAAACTAATAATAAGTATTGAATAATGTCAAGACACGAGTCATTAACCGCTTAAACCTAATTTTAAAGAATTATTGACATCTCTATATTGCGATCGTTTATTTTTAAATAATGTCAGTACACTTATAATACGAACGTTATTGTCTCGATAACCGTTTTGAAACAATGAAAGTGAAAGTAATTATAAAAAAAAACTTTCCAGTTTTATCTCCAAAACAAACAAAAGGTATATTTTTTATTTCCGTAAATTACAAGTTATGTATATGTACCAGAAAATTGGTCACGATCACAATGATACACTTACGTACTCTTACGAATCAGAAGGCATAAGGCATTATAGCGGGAGGTCTGTGCCCGGTGAAAAAATGACAGATCATTGTAGCGCACACCGCGCATGATCCGCGCGCGTCTTCCCGCGCTTTTAGAGCGCGAGATTTAAAAACGGAATTATTTACGAGCGTTGGTAATATTTTGAAAAATATTTTTGCCACTTTTTATAGTTATTATTTGTTAAATATATTTTGAAATATAAATAAATTGTGTAACGTTTCAAGTAATAGTTGTATTCAAATAGATTTTTTTATCTTGTTACGAACTATTTTCGTAAATAATAATATATCTAATCTGTGATGTGACTTTAATCAATGTGTGTTATTGAAATTAAAACTCTAAAAATGGTGGGAAACAATTCAAATTTGCGGGGACCCGGCAAAAACACGAGTGTTCAAAGAACAGTGGCATGTTTTATCAGTGCGTGTCGTAAATTAAATAGTTTGGAGAGCATTTATGCGGGTCTATTTGTGTTGCTTGTGCCATCAGTTCTTTGTAAAGCAGGTGAGAGAAATTTAATATTTAATGAGGTTATTTGAAACAATAGATCACTCAATGTACTATGTAATTTTTTTCTGTGTTGATGTTACAGAAATGCATATTTTAAACTTAAACCAATATTGTAAACATCAGTAAGTAGTTTATTAAAATAATTAAATAAATTAATAGTTAAAGTTAATGGAGTTTCTTGCTCGTTCTTCTCCACTATGGAGTTTCGAATCGACATTTTAGAACGAGCGCCTAGCTTCACTGACGGACAGACTGACAGACTATTATTTATTTCATATTTGTTGACGTTTCAAAAGTACCAAATTATGGTTTAATTGAAATAAATGCTTTTGAGTTTGAGTTTGAGTTTGAGTTTAATAAACGTAAATGTAACTGATGAGTAAAAACCTTTCTTAAAAATTTCTTGCTTTAAATTTTCTGATAGGGTAACAAGCGTGATACTATGTTTATAAATCTAAATTAAACAAGACAAGTAAATATTAAGCGAACCTAGCACCTAATGAAAGAATTCTTCAATTATAGAAATTCGTTCTCTTCAGAATTTGTTACTTGCCCTTAAGGGTTGGAAAGTAAGCCTGCGACCAGAACTATACCCGATCGTACGGAGCGTCGCATTCCCCGCGCGCCTCAAAGAGCCATTAGACGCCCAATAGGGTTAATGTCGATACGGAGCCGCGGACGACTTAACGGGTTGCCGGGTTTCCGGCGAAGTACAGGAGTAGGAACCGGGTGGTTTTTAGTCAGTAAGAGTCTGACACTGCCCCTCGCCTCACTCGGGCGGGTGAAGTCATTGGATGATTTGCCCTCTCAAAAAAGGGGTTAAAAAAATAATTCCATTATACTGAATAAAATGTGTCTTCTAACTTTACTAAAGTAGGAGTAGTCTCAAAGTATTGTACTGTGAAGATCCAAATGTCCCATACAAACAAATTGTACATCAAATCAGTATTGTACTTACCTATTATAAAAGTTAAAACACAACAACAATAGAAAAAATACAGAAAAAGCAATTAAATTAAGATTATCATTGCGAAATCATCATCTTACAGATGTTATCTAGTAGAAGCCAGTGAGAGGGTATTATGTTCACCTTGCATTACATATAGAACTACATGCTTATAATTTATATATATCTTGTTGATCTTTGCATACATAATCGCGATCTTTAAACATGAATCATAGTTTGAAATTCCGATTAAGTTTAAGTCAATTCTCGGTTAAGTACGATTTAACTAGAGCAAAAAACCTCATCTCCTAAGTTGGTTAGGATAACGGAAGATATAGAAGCTGACCTATGGGTTTGTCCTAAAATTATGACAAGTGTGATGATAATGACGACCGTTATCAAGCTAAGTTATATACAATTCGCCATTTTCGTTTTAAATCACAGTTTAAACGTGGAGCGGCGTCGAATGCTTACCATCAGGTGATCCGTCTTCACGTTTACCGGTTTATGCTATAAAAAAAAATATTCAACACGAGGATCCAAAGACAGTTTATCTCTCATCATCATCAGGGCTCAAATTAATGTTATAATCCTGTTTATGAAACTTAAATTGGTGAAATCTTTATTAACATATACGTATATTTAGCATTCGCATACAATCTATAAATAGATCCTTGAACTATAAGGCGAGTGTAATTTCCAAATAATAGTCAGCATTGTTCTCTTCTTGTACAAAATATGCAGCGAACCCTTTAAATATGGGTGTCAGACAATGACGCTTGAAGACACTAGTTACATGTCTACCTATAACTAGAAGTACTTTGTACTAGGCGTGTAAGGGTGTACTAAGTTTGTATGTAGATTTAAAAGGGCTATGATTATGGCATAGTTACCTTTGTCTGACAATAATAGTCTTCATTAAAAGTAATACGAATCCATTCCAAAGATTTCGTTCGTGGCTCAACTATACAATTGTAGATTAAAACTATTATCACATTTGTAACAATAGCCATAAAGAATCAATAAGTAAGAATATCCTTAGATTTCGATACAACTCTAAATTAAAGTAAGTACGTTACGTTACACGCCCCCGTAGCCCCGAATTTAAAATATCTACATAAATTATTCCATTTTGCAAAGATTGTGGTCAGCCAGTGACCGCCCATCTATCGACCGCTACAAAAACCTTTTGAATGACAAATATACTCTACACTCCTTTTTGAAATTCGTAATTAAGTATAGGAATCGATTCAACTTTTACACGATCGAGAAAGTTGGGCCCTTCATTAATTGAATTTTTAATCCTTTCTGTACAATGAAGTTTGTTTTCAAATTTCGGTACTTTAAAAATAAAGGGAGTTTTTATCTCGTTTGTCTGGTGGTCATAAGGGTGAAGTTTGCACGTGAGATCTAGCGACTAGCAGATATTTAACGGAAGCCTAGTAATTGTCCCCATAAAAATACCTAGCAAAATATGTCCTTCACATTCACTCATTCGCTTACTCCACCACGGACAAACAGCTCTGACATTACGTATAATAAAAAGCAAGGTTGCTTAAAAATGTCGAGGGCTAAACATCATTGTGGGAATGACCGAAACAGAATTCAAAACAACAATACAATAATGTGTAATCACAATAACGCAATTGTGGTAACCGTGAAACTTGAAGTAAGTAAGTACTTTGATATTACATAAAAATTATGTCAAATGGTATGGTGAACTTTTCCGCGAGCAGTGTCGCGAAAACGCGACGGAACGACGAGTCCAATAATCGATTCCACCATTAACTCGATTACACAATGCATTTCCGACGCGATTGTTCGTAACAGACCTACTACATACCGATTGACTTGATAAAGCCCATAACAAGATTCTTTACTTCTTAATAAAAATATGGTACCGTAAAAAGAATACACTTCTGGAGTGAAACCAGAATATTTCATTGACATTTAAGCACAAATTAGACATAATATATTAACGGAAAATATAACACAAAATCAGATACTTAATTCTTTATGCACTTAACCAAATTAATTTTTATTCTATTGGATCATCACCACCATCATATCAGCTACTGCTAACATAGGTCTTCCCCTATTAGATGTACTTAAAACTTTTTTTGTTAACCTCGATCTAAGTGGACTGTAAGTACCATAAATTAGACGATTACAATGCGCAGCGATGGTAAAATGGTCCATGCGTACCGAGATGGCATTCACTGCACTTCCTTTATGGGTCACACAAGGAAATACACCATAAACCTATATATGGTTATTGAAACAAAGAACATTCAATCTTATTAAAAAATAATGCGGTGTGTGCTCAGCATTACACAGTATGCTTAATTCCTTGTTAAGTCAACAAGAAATGTTTTGCTATTACAAATGTTATTTTTATGGTAATTGAGAAGACATTTAAATAGGCGAATGATTCATTGTATTATTTATTTACTGTCTAGTTTTAAAATCTAACCTGGAACTACTCATAAACAACATACAAAAATAACAAAGAGAACCTCTTCACCTAAATATATAAGTATATTAAACTGTCTATAAAAAACATCATCTATGATACTTCATCTATCTAACCACAACGGTTCATGAGATACGGCTTGCTGATGGACAGGTGAAATCCTTTTAAGAGCAATCCATTTTTAACCCTAATATACAGAACCTTTAAAAAAACTGTGTCAGACATGCAAAATGTATTTTTTCATTAAACCTATCTAAACATGATCTTATTCTAAGGCCGTTAGCACATTAGCGTGATAGCGCGATAGCCAACCACCTATTATTCCACGACACTGACCCATATATCTAATGTTATAACAATTATTATGTGATCACTTGCATTCAATTTATATCATGTATATAAAATAAATGATCTTGTAACATTTGCATCCGTTTGATATTTTTTAGATATCATTAGCACGCCATCGCAAAAAACATCGTGTTATTCCTTGGATGTTAATCTTTAGAATAAACACGACCAAATGCAACATGTATATAAAAGTATAGTTAAGTTGTCGGTGTGTGCATCGTCATTAAGACTAGCTACAAAAATTTATTGAGTATGATGTGCTAATCCTTCTAAAATTGTGGTTAAATCCTTAATTCATATTTGTCCTACCCTACCTACTACCCTGGTGGTTAGGAATGATCCGGCCTACGATGAAGCATGTCGTCCCATAAACAACCTATTCACTCGGGCAATGAAGACACCCAGATTATAACCTACCTAACCTTCAAGAAATACAGACTGGCAAATAATTCCACTTCTTAGCAGTACACACAAGGAAGCTTAAATTTGCTTGCTTGAACCGTTCTCCTTTATCAAATGTTATTGCATTACATTTTCTTCATAATATCACTCTTTGCTCAATATATGTCTATACTTTTTTTCCACTGACTAAATAGCAAAATTAATACTTCAAAAGTCAAAACATCTTGCATCATTGTTGTATAACATTTATTTTCAAGTTTCTGAAATGTTAGTCGATTAAAGAGGATTGCTGCACCACCGTTGCATTAATATATTGACATTCAGCCAGACTTTACGCCACAATGACACACCTAGTAACATTGCAGACCATCTTCATATTATATTTCACCATAATATTATATTATTATCTATTTATTTTTAATCTTTTTTATTTAGCAAATATGAATGGGGCGGTCGGTAGAGGGCGTCCTAAACGGACATAATTATACTGACCAGATTGGCGATGTATTAAAAAAGGGCCAAATTAAAAGTAACTTAATCGACGAGCATGCATGAAAAGATTAATGACTGTTGATGACGCGCAAGAGGTATCTAGGAATCGTAGCAAATGCCGTTTCGTAGTCTTTGCCTACCCCCATGGGAGACAGGCGTGAAGTTTATTTATAAATGTCTTTATTTATTTATAAATGTATTAGAGATTTTATCCAATAAGGATATGCCAACCCCATCGAACCTTATTCTACAGTGCACACTTAACTGAAATTACAATATCACAATATACTAATATTTAAAATGTGAATATAAGACATGCTTCAATACGGCTGA